GTAAACATTCATAATTGTTTCATTTCTTCCTATGAGCTTATTTTGATCATAACTTTCATAGAAGAAAGTACTCATTACTTTTGTCAATTGAAATTAATAAGTTCATTAATTTCAATTGACATCCATAACTAGGATTTACTAAATTTTTAAAAAATCTGATTAAAATTGAACACTACGCATTATAAACTTTAAAACAGAAAATATAAATTACCAAATCAAGAATAATTTTAAAATAAGTTGAATAAAGCTATCAAATCAAAATTACCTAAAAATAGTATAGTATACGTGTTTATGATGTAACTACTTTAAACGTATAACAGAATTCGCTTTAAAATTAAAATAAAATTATCATACAGAGCATAAGAATGAATTTCCAGATTTGATTCAATTGATTGAATGAGAGTACCTACATTATTTTAATTATATCTTTTATTATTGTTATAAACATACTTGCATATATATACAAATTAAATATAGACTAAATTTTATAACAATAATCTAGTATGGATTATAGTAAAAAAATGGATTAGTACCACCTTATCCAATTTAATAGACGAATGTCTTTTAAACTATAAAATGTAATAAATTAATCAAACAAAGGAAAACGTTTCAATTATCTATATGCATACTTGTCTTTTATTTGATTTTATTAAAATTTTAAAATAAATCTATTTACATACATAATATACTAATCGTTTTCATTCAATTGTATTTCAGGCATTGTATAAAACAAAAAAATAATCACAGAACATATTTAAATTGGTTTCTGTTTTAATTAAAATTATAAGAATCTAACCTTTCAATTTACATGAAGAACCTTAAACATGGTACATGAAATCTGTTGTTATACATAAAATACAAGAGCTAAACCTTATAGTTGAAATTGCAATTAGCGTATAACATGAGAGTAACGTCATTTGTCATTCATTCTATACAATTATTTCATTTTAAATTGAATAAATATAATAAATTAGAGCAATCAATAATGAATTTGTATATTTATTAATGGTTTAGTAATTAAAATCAATATCAGTATCACAAAATGGTTTTTACATATGCATGTATGTACTTGGTAATATTAATGTAATTAATCTAAGAGGATATTTTTTATTAAATCAGTTCTCTTTTCGTAATGATTCAATAGATTCTAGAATTAGAGCATATTGTCTAATAATATATGTAATTGAAAATATTCCAACAAAGAATAACAAGTAATGGTAAAATATTAATTTCAATACTGACCAATCAACAGAAATGATTTTGTTCCCCAATGTAAATTACAAATATATAAATTAATATTCCTTTCTCATTATTGGTCTTTATTTTAATAATTTAAATGTGTCTAAGACTGACCTCCTTTCAGAACACTGATGGTTTATTTCACAGTTTTTAAATGAAAGAACCCTCAATTTTTTATTCTGAACTTTCTTCATTAATTACAGCTTTTTTATATGAAAAATATTTAATACTATAAGCAATTTCAAATAACAAATTAAAATATCTTGTGTTTCTAAATTTAATAAAAAAACACTCAATACTTACTGCACTTAATGCTTTAAATTTTCTAAAAAAAAAATATTTCAATTTAATAAAAAATTGGAAGAATTGCTTCTTCCAATTCGTATTCTAATCGTAAAAAAATAGTTGATGTTAGGTGCATGCGTTAAAAAGAATGTTACTGCTGAATGTTATTATACTGAACTCAAATTAAAGTAACTACCTATCTTCATAACTCCAACTGATTACCTCAATGTAATTACTTTAAAATATTATTCCCTTATGTTTATATGCAATTAAATTATTACATAAATTGTTCATCAATAGTATTTTGTTGCCATTCAGGTCACGATCTTTCCCTCAAATATACAATATACATATTGCATATCCTTCACTCATAAATAAGAATTATTAAAAATTTAATTCGCCAATAAATGATTTTCTTTTTAAAAATTCTGTAATAATTAATTAATTAGTTTCATTATTTTATTAATTTTGATATTTTATGGAATTTTATTACAACTATCTATACATTTAACAAAAAAACTCGTATGGCAGTGACATCTATAATTTTGCTCAATGAATTAAATTTGACATTAATATTATTGTGCATTTAGGAACACATTAATTATAATTAATATAGCACATAACCTTATTATTAATAGTGCATAATATTACCGCGTTATGAAAAAAATTCAAATCAATAATTTATTAAATAAAAAAATTAATATAATTTTTATACATAATGTACTTAATTATATCAGGTGTTGTCTTTTTTCTTTACCTAATTACAAATTATTGTTTTTTTTTTGTACTTAATGAAAGAAGAGAGAAATAAAAAACCACAACATTTAATGAACAAAACTGCAAATATTTAATTTATAAGAACAATAAAATTTTATAATTAATTATTTTACATAAATGTAGGTACATATGTATATGTACGTATATATTATTCATGTATATAGTATATAATATTATTTGGTATGCTAAATGAACAAAAAAATAATGTCTCATTATTTTAAATTCATTGAGCAAAATCATATATATAGATGTCACTGCCAAGCGAGCTGTTATAATATATATATTTGTAATGTAATGTTATGTAATAAAAGCTATATATATATATATGTAAGAATATGTACATGTAAGAATACGTGTATAAATAAAATTTTTAATTTATATATAAACAAAAGATTGCATTATTGGGATTGCATGTCTGAAGGTTCCAATTTTACACATAACTATATACGAATTCAAATAATTCAATTATATTGCATTGTATATTATTATTATAATTTAATACGAGTACTAAAAAATATATAAACTACTTATGTATTAGCAATATTAAAAATGAAATAATTAATAAAAACAAAATTTTTTTATCTGTTACCTATATAACAGACTTGTAAACTTACAAACATTGCAAGAATGCATTTTATATACAGAGGTTAGGAAATAATAAGGTCATTATCAAAAGTTTTAATTTATTTTTCTCGCTTTTTATTTATTATTATTTTTTGTACTTTTTATACCAAATGATCACGTTCGCTAGTAAATTTTTTAGCTTTTACTTTTATTTTTTTATATTTTATTATTTCGCAAAAGAATGAAAAATATGATTTTTTTTTTGTAAATTGTTTTATGATTTTATACACAAACGTATATGTAGAGGTGAATTTATATATTATGTTACACTATGTATAAGGAATTTTCGTTACAGAGAATATAATTTTTCCCTCCTGTTTTTTTAACATTTTAAAGATTCAAATTAAATGAAGTAAATTAGGAAGACAAAATTTAGTTCAACGTTCAATTTTTAAGTTTCTTTCTTGCTTATATAATTCATAGCAAATGTATGTACATACATAAATTTGTATGTGTGTACGAAATTATATATCTAACATGTTATAATTTTCTCACTTGTATCATAGGAAAAAAAATAAAATACAATGGTTTTACATAATTTGAAATTATTTGCAATAAAATTTATAATTACATTATTTCCATTTTGTTTAGTTGATAAACTTGCTACATTTATGTTATACCATGACATTATTATTCATTTTACATATTATAAATATATAGAGGAAAATTAATTGTAAATTAAAATACATGGCATATGTTTTAGTATATAATATAAATGTAAAGTAAAAACAAAAATTCATAAAATGCGAGAATCTCTCATAAGATAAAAAAAAAAATAATCTCATGCACACAGCTGTGTTTGTGTTGTAAAACAGCAAAAACAATAATAATGTGGAAAAAATGAGAGTATGTATGTATACATTTAATATTTACATTGTAATAACGTAATGTTTCGCTTCATGTAAATTATTATTGTTTAGATTTTGTTTGTTGAATTCAGGCTTTCACAGACTCATTTGTTATTTTTTTGTAACAATTGTAACAATTTTGACGAATCTAGATTTTGTAAATTTATGCACAAAAATTTTTAAATGTAACAATACACAACGTTTCATACGAATATGTATGTTTGAGTATGCCTAGGTTCATAAACAACTCAGGTGTTAAAAATAATTTAAATACATTTTTGTATACATAGTACATTTTACACTGAGCATTTAATTTTCATTCATGAGCAAATATTGCATAATTTTTATTTTTATTTTTTTTTTGTAAGTTTTTTGAGCTGTAATTTTGTTTTACTTAAATGTTTAAAATTTTTTTTTTTGATGTTTAATTTATTATGGAAATAATGTTTATTATTTTTTAATATTAAAGTTAAAAAGTGTTGAAACTATAAAATTAAAATTTATAAGGCATATTAAACTTGTAAATATATTAGTACATATGTAAATGTAGTATACATCATAGCATGAAGGGGCTGATAACAGTGTTGTGTGTTAATACAATGGGATTTCTTACAATTTTTTTAAGAGTTGAAAGAAAGAGATGCTAACGAGTTTCCTTACTTAAATAAATTATTTTTATACATTATTCGATTCTAAGAGTATTGTGTATATTTACCATTTTACACTTGACCAGCCTGAATATTTTGTGAAAACTACCGAGTTCAGTTATTGCTGCGTATAGTTTTACTAGACAATGGAGGTTGACTGCTTCAACATTTTATGAACAGATAGAATGTGTTAAAGTTGAATTCTTTGTTTTTTTTTTCAAAGATTTGTCTTAACATAAATATTTCGTTTATAGTTTATCTTGTGGAGAAGATAATATCTTGATAATTTCCAATTAAAGTTTAAGTGTACTTTCTCAGTCACTCATATAAAAAGCATTGAAAGAATTTTGTAGCACATATTTAGGAAAATAATTGCTCTCTGCAGTTTTCACAGATTGTTGTATTGTTACACATAATTACATTCTATAATTTACCCTAAAATTGAATTAAAATCAATTATGCATTGTAATTTTTCAAAATATTTATAAAGATAAAATTTTAAATTTAGGTTTTGATAATATTTTATTTTATTTTTAAGTAATAATTTTAATAATAAAAATTTTTTTTTGTATATTTTTAGTTACAAATAGCATTTGCGTTATTCTTATCGATCTCATTAGTAACCGGCCAGTATTTTGGATCACATTACTCTAATTTTGGTGGTCATAATAGTTTTGGATTACATTCATTAGTACCAGATTATAATAGTGCATCATCATATTCTGGTAGTAATTATCAAGCACCAATAAGAGATTCAAGACAAGATAGAGGTATTTATAAAACCACACATGTGGTATATTAAATTACTCTACTATTATTTTCAAAATCTTCCATGTAAAATTTAATTGTATATAAAAACTATTTCAAAAATACTTGATTTTAAATTATGCTTACATCATATTTTCACAACGACGTAAGCATAATTTTTTTTCCACTTTTCCTATTAAATTTACATAATATCAAATAAATTTCTTTCCATGTACTTTAAATGAATTAATTTATAAATGTTTTTTTTTTTCTCTTTTTATTTATTTTTTTTTTTAAATTAAAGGTCCAGTAGTTTTTCCACCACCACCCGGTGATGCACCAGAAGAAAGTAGCGGTGTAATTATTGGTGCATCTGGTTATGGTTTTGTACCACCAAATAGTCCACAATATAGAAGTAAATAATAATTGTTTTGTTTTTTTTTTTTTATTTCTATTTTAATACTTAATATAATTTATATAATTATTTATGTATTTTAAACATACGAGTATATATATATATACGAGTACATATATGAAGTAAATTAATTTTTGAAATTATATTTGCCGGCAATGTGAATGATAAAAACCATTAAATAATTAATAATAAACAAAATACAAATTAAGTTTAATTAAGTTATTTAGTTTTAAGAAGAACAAATCAAAATTAATAAATTAAATTTAAAATAATTAGTCGATTGAATGTGCCTTAAAGGACATTATAATAATTTATGTAATATTTTTCAGAAAAATCCGTTTATGTATAAATTTTTGCATGAAAATTACTCTTGTATAATAAATTTTTCCAAAACTAACATAAAACTAACTACTAATTAATTAATTTAAACTAATAATTTAAATGAAATTAAAAAAATTTTTTTTATTTAATAATTTGTACAAAAATATTTATTAAAAAACTTCCATAATTTAATAATTTATATCAAAAAGCATTTATATTTAACTATATGATAAAATGGGAATTCAAATAATTCTAATCATAATATTAATAAATTAATAACCATTGTTATACAATTGTATATTTTTATATAATCATACACGTGTTGTACAAAAAACGCATGCGTTTGGGAATATTCGCTAATTCAAAGATGCACAGAAAGTTCTAAATTAAATCTTCAAAGTCTTTCGAAACATACTAACAAAATTTCAGAAATTAAATACTTTACTTTTGCAGATTTGTAACAGACTCAAGTAATTCTTAAATATTCAATATTTATCTGTTATACTCCTCCCTCTTTAAATTTGTAATATTATTTTTGCAGTAGTTATAAAATAAAATTTAAAAATTTCTTTGGAACTTTAACCTAAATTGTCATTTTCGAAAATGTTATTTCTGCAGATTTTGCAGTGTAGATTTATCGAACATGCTTTATATTAAGACCTAGATTAGAACAGAATTATCGAAAATCCCCTTTTTGTACTTTTGGGTATACTTAAGCTTTATTTTTAATTTTCGTTTTCAAAACTGCAAATTATTAATTACACCCTTATAACATGAAAGTTCACAATGTTCTTTCTCTCACAATCATAAAATTTAAAAAATTCATATTTTTAAAATTGAGGCAAATATTTATATAACTTGTATACATATTTTATAATTTTCAAATTCCTTTCAACATTAAAAATAATAATTATTTTTATAAATATTATTTAAGTGCGATTATTACGAAGAGCCTCAATAGTTTTAATACAAATTTAAAATTTGTTATTTGCGAACCGTATAACAATGCAAAAGTTTTCTAAATTTGGATTCAGTCGTCGTCTTTCCAAATTGTTTTCAAATTTAAAGTTCCATTTCAAATTTTTATTTTATTAAATAATATTTATTAAATAATACTGAACAAATCTAACAAAATTTTAACTAACCTATACAAATAATTGTAAATGTTCAATAAAATATTTTTTTTTATTTTTAAATTATGATTTTTCTTTTAAATTATTATTTTTAATTTTAATTTAAAATTTTAATTTTGTAAATATATTTTTAATAACAACATTTTTTATTTTATTTTATTTTTGTATTAATTTTTCTATTTTTTATTATTTGTAAATTTTTATTTTTATTTTAATTTATGTTCTTTCAAAATTACATAATGTTATAAAAATTTTTTAGGAATTTTTAATTTTAAGTTCAAATTTTATATTTATATTTTTTTTTGTTTAAAAATTCATTTATAATAAATTTATAATTTAATTAATAATTTATTTTTTAATTTTTATTTTTTAATTTAATTTTTAGAAATATAATATTGCTCTATATATATATATATGTATATATTTAGGCAATAGTTTATTGGGTTTGGAAGGATTATGGTTATTATTTTAATTATAAATAATATCTTGTCTTTTGGTTTTCCTTTTTAAATATTACCTATAACAATTATATATTTTGATATTTTTAATCCTGTCTTAAATTTTTTTAATGGTGGTTACTTTCTTTCAATGAAAATATAATAATATCTATATATACATATGTATTTATATTCCCCCAAATTTAATTGAAAATAAAAGTAAGAGGCAAAAAAATAAATATATTTATAATAACAGTTATATTTATGATTGGAGCAAGAATGCCTAAGATATTAATAAGAAGCTAGAATGCCTATAAACTAATTTCAATTTATTATATCACCAACACCAAATATGTATTTTCAAAGAGTATATTATAGGCCTACATTTTCATTTGAAACGCAAATAAATAGTAATCTGAGCCATAAACATTCTCTATTTTTACACTATTGATTTCTAAATTGATGAACCAATGTCTGTGCCTGTATCTAAGAAAATAAACTTGATAATACAATAATTATAATTACGTCCGGTAAATTTTGAAAAAAAGCACAAACGAATTCTTTGTAATTTGGACTTAATTTCGGTAGACGATCAAGTATACGTTAACAACAGTTTCATAATAATTTGGAAAATATTAGAGATTAGCATACATGTTTTATATCCCCATGTTATATTTATACACATAAACCAGTTTGGTAATAGGACCTCTATTTTAGTAAAATTTTTGAGAAACCGCACAAGTTCACAAATAATATAATAATATATATCTCCAGATCTGCTCAGATTAAAATGCTCAAATTCAAAATAGAAAATCTAAGTAACCTGTATTAATGTATAGACCTAAAAATTTTTCGATTTTATTTCTTTACTGAAAAAAAGAATAAACGTACAAGACTACATTATTTAGATAATATATATGAATCTATGTATAATCTTAATCTTGCTATAAATAAACAAATAAAGCAATATTACCGTAATTACATACATTTATTGCTTTCAAATTAAAATATCTTTTTTTCCTTTTCTTTAAAAAAATACCCAAAAACTTAGTGATAATGATAATAAAATTTTTCTACCAATCCATAAGCTGTGCTTTTAACAATAATTTTACATTACTGAAGAGTTTAATTAATATTATGGATTGTATGTTACATAACATTAACATTATTGTTCGTTGTGTTTCGTTTTTTGTTTTCTGTGTTTAAAGGGCCAATTTGCTTTTGTTATCTCACACAACTGCTAAAATTTTTCGTACCAATGTAATACCTAATGCATTTATGATAATTTTCATTTACTATGTTAGGTGAGAAAAGTAAATGTTGTGTCTTAAAGCTAAAATTTTTTAGTAAAAAGAAAAAACTATAAAAAAAACTTGAATTCAAATAAAATGGTAAATTTAAACAAATTAAATAAGAAATTAAATTAAAGCTCAATACAAAAATTTAATCATTAATCAAAAAATTGCTGTAAGTGTGAAAATAAAGAAATATTATTTCCGTCAAACAAAAAAAAAGAGCTATTTTAAAAAAAGTAAAAAATATGTAAAATCAGATAAATTTTTACTAAATAGTAATTTTCCTTAAAAAAGTATTGAATTTCTGAAGTTTTTCTCTAGTACAAATTACATACATACATACGTATATAAAAAATTTAAATTTTCTATTACATATGTATGTATATACATACATATTAAGCGCATGTATTACATTAAGGCACCTGTATATTTTGAGGACTGCTGGCATTTATATTACTTTTACTATTATGTACTTTGCAGGCTATAGAAAATAAAAGAGGAAAATATTTGATTGAAATATGATTTTTCAATCAATATGTTGGCACATAATATATACATATGTATGTACATATAATATGCATAATTTAGAGGTATTTTAATTTCGGGCATTATGGAAATTCATACATATAAAAAATTATTCCAAAATTTTTACTTATTTATAAAAGAAAATTTGCTTACTAATTCTTCCTAATTTCTGACTTGATAACAAAAATAAAAACAAATAAGTATTACTGAAATTCCCGCGTACCAGCGAATTTGGAACATTATGTGGTCTAGAAAATTGTTTATAACCTAATACTCGTATATTGATCAGATTGTTTATAAAATATGCATAAATAAACATACATGTACATGTACTTATTGCATGCTATTAAATGAGCAACAATGAGAAAATATTTTCTTTACATTTTCGCAATATTTTTGTCAAAAATATGGCCATTGTCATATAAACGTAGCGATGGAGCTTTTCCATCTTTTTACAAAATTTACCGAAAATAGAAATAGAAAAATGGTAAATAAATCTTGAGATAAAGATTTAATGAACATTTTCCATATATTCATATATCCGCCCGTCCTAGGTCACAAACCACTCGCGGCAAATGATGCCGTATTACGAGCCAATTGGAATGTATCCAAGTTTCTTTCTTTGCTTCATGCAACTGATACCTCCGTACACTTTAGTCTAGCGGGGGGTTATCTGAGACAAGATACAGCGAACATGTTGGACAGTCACACTGTTTGGAGCGTTGATTTCATACTAAGTGAACTCTAAAACAGTGTGCAGTTGTCTTGATAGACTTTTTTGCATTGGACGACAAAATCTGTAAGAATTAGAAGTTACACTGTACTGGGTGTCGGTAATAATGGGCAATGAGCATAATAACGTGCTTGCAAGGAAGAGGGAAAACACATCCTTTCTGGTGCCGGAGTTCTTTTTTTTTAAGATTAGGATGCAGTGGAACCATCCTGGGCTGAAACAGATGTATCTTCTGGGGGTCTGTAAAGAAGCACTTAAATTAATTATTGGAATCTGATTACAACACAGCAATTTTGTTATTGTTCATACATCTCCTTTTAACTCTCATAATATAAAAACCACTCTTAGAAAACCGCCTTAGAAAACCGCATTTCTTTCTCAATAATATTATTCAAATAAACTTTGATCAAACTCCAGATTAATAATTAAAAACAACATTGACATGAAGCAACATTTAAACACAAATCCATGTATCAACATATTTTTTTTTTAAATTCTCACTTGTACATATGTATATAGTTCCTTTTTGCGTTTCATTGATATGTTAATAATGGACAAATACCATACTTTTACAAAATTATGCTTCTTTCCAACATTTAAGCCAAGTAACACATTCTAAATAACACATGTACTTCGGGATTTGCGTAAATTTTTAAACATGAATTTTACGAAACTCCGAAATATATTATTAATCTTCAGATTACGTTTACCAAGTTTTTGTTCAATTTTTCTATATATGTATGTAGTCTATATGAAGTTTATTCTGCAAACTATGTAGCTTATTATCAAAATTTGAAAATTCGTTATTCATCACTTGTTGAATATAGATACATATATATAGATACTAATTTTTTATTGCTTTTTTAGGTCGACCAGTTAACACATTTTCCAATCAACCATCTACCTTATTTGATGAAGATAACGAAATTCGACCTGCTTTTGATTCATTTGATTCAACAAGAGGAACTTATGGAACACGATTTAATCGTTATAGCAGTCGATATTTAAGAAAACCAGTTCCATTTTTCTGAATTAAGTTCTGAGGCTATTTACATCATGTAAATATTTTGAATTTGTATCCTAAGTCAATTTTTATAATGATTAAAGTAAAATAAAGTTAAAATGTGTACATAGTTTTAAAATTTTGTAAATATACTTTGTTAACTTAATTTAATTTAAAATTTAAATAAATTAGAAAATACATATTAACATCGATTTAACAAACCATCTAATTAAATTTTTTAGTAAAAAAGCTAAAACACTTACCGTTATTTCTTTATGGATGGATGCGTCAATACAAATTTATGGATGTACGAATCAAGCTGTTCACTTTTCAAAAACAATCTCCACTTTATAAATAGCGTCCACTTTTCAAAAACAATGTCCACTTTTTAAAAATAATGAGTTATTCCTTATTTTACTTAAGCCAAAACCTGCTTCTTAACTTCATATTTTCAGAGTTGAAAAAATGGGCTATTAATTTTCATTTCAATGTACAATATTGGTAATATTTTAACAACTTTCAAAAAAATCTCATGAAAAAGTATTTTTTATTTATTTAATAAAAAATTTAAGATGCCGAACTCAACACATCGCGCGCTGTTTAATTTTAAATTAGTTTTTAGTAGGGTTAGCCTGGGCCTATATATATCGATATATCGAACATCGAAATAAATCGAATATAAATTTTTAGGAAAAGATCGATGCATTTTAACATTTGTTTTACACCATTTATCAAGTATTTCATGCTTTTTGACAACAACTGCGAAATTCGATATTTAAAATAATTTGCGTCAGTCTAGTTTGCACGTACATTAAAAAACGTAATTTAAATAAAGTTGGGTCAAACCAATAAACGTTTGTATTGTAGCACTTTTCCCTTCAACAAGTGAAAATTCTGCTTTTAAATACAGTCTATGTATACCTATTACACTATTAAAATTATTTTCATTCATATACAAAACTATTTTTAGGATTGCATATATTTAGGATGATGCATACATGCAGTCTTTGAAATAAAGCAAAAATTAATATAAAGAGGGGTTAACATAATGCTCGATTTTAAGGTTTAATTGTGTGAGTTAAGAAAAATAATTGTATTTTTTAATGTCATGGAATTTACCGTTAACTTTTTGTGTTTATAGAAATTTGAAAAAGCTTGCGGTTTCGGAAATATAGAGGGGATAACTTGAGAGGGGGTGGAAATGAAAAATTTTAAGCTTCTACGGGCTGAGATATAGAAGAAAAACGACATCAAACATTTGGAAAAAAAGGACTTTAGATAACGGTAAATTTGAACGGCCATTTCGTTTTTCTAAAGTTAACCTATAGTATACCGCGCTAGGGAAAGCAAGCCGCTGCCTTTTTGAGTTTGCAAAATTTTAAAAATACTTATGGTTTCATTGCAACAAATAGTTAAAATAGGCCATTTTTAAGGTTTTGGGGGGATATAACTTCTAGAGGGGGGAGATAGGTAAAAATTTTGTTCTACGCAAGTAAGTGTCTAGTAAAGATCTATGTACATATATAATTTCAGCTTTCTATCTTCAAATATGGACGGACGGACGGACTAATAAGCACTTTTTTTCAAAAAAATTTTTGGAAAAGTGCTAAAAAGCACTGAGCTTAAATACATTACGTATAGAGATTTGAGCTGCGATTAGGTTGCAAATTACAATCAGAATGTAAAGTTAGAATTGTGAAAATGTATGGTTTTACAAGATTATGTAGGGTTGTCAAAACTTTCAAAAAGTAAGGTCATGTTGGGTTTTCAAAACTTTAAAAATATAAGGTTATCTATGACTATCAAAACCTGCTAAATCTGGAATAACATTAGATTGCCAAAAAATATAATATGTAGTATATTTAAAAGTTCTTACTTATTTGTTCAAAATATTTGTTACTTATTTATCGTGAATGATTTGAATGTGTTGGTATGAAACGGCTTGCACCTATTTTCATTTGATACATCGAATATTTTGAATAATGTTTCTGTATTTTGAAGGTTTTGACAACTTTAATTGAATAACTTCACCTTTTTAAAGTATTGATAAATTGACATATAACCTCATAAAACCTTACATTTAAACAATTATTGTAACCTCACATTGATTGAAAGCCAATCGCGTCCCTGGCGAATTCTGCAGAACGAATATATAAGTTCCTAGTTGTATTGACGAACACGCACAAATATATGTACTTATAAATACGAATAAATGATGCAAAGTTTGTCATATGATATATGGAAACTCTGCCTCATTTATATCTTGTCATTTACTTGAAGGACACCAGGATCCGCATGAATGTCACTATTGTGCACATACTAAGAAGCATCGAACTTTGAATTTGTTTGATTACTTGGCACAACCCCATATCTGCAAACCATACTGGCTTTATCATTTGGTTATATATCGACACCTTATTGTATGTTTCCAATCTAGACCTGCGACCTAACAGTTAATAATTTCCTCTATATTTGTTTTCTTATTCTATTCCTTTGTCCTTTACGTGTTCTTTCCATCTGAGCCTGACATTCAAAGTCATACCTAGGTATTACGCTGCGTTTCGGATTGATGCTTTGACACTATTCAAATTCAATTGTGGGTTTACTAAATTTTTGTTTCTGAAATTTACACGTTCCGATTTACTTTTATTTAGTTTTATTTTTCATGTATTTGTCCATCTACTTAAATTTTTAGTTGCTTACTGTATATTTTTTGTCGATTCTTCAACGATAGATCCTACTACCAATATTGCCGTCTCGTCGGCAAATGTAGATACAGTAACACCCTCTCAATCTGGCAAATCGCTTGTATAAAGCACGTATAATATAAGACCCAGAATACTGCCTTCAGGCACACTAGCTCTAATTTCTCTATGCCAGGAGTATTCAAAATTTTAACTTCTAACTTGAAAATTATATAAGAATTAATATCACATTAATGTATAAAATATGATAATTAATTCAACGGTACCAACACTAATTTTTGACACCTGCTAGACAATCTATATATAGTTTGAGAACCGATGTTTATGGAACTAATTTGAAATTTCATTTTCATTTGATATTTTGAACGCTGACACACTATCTTTCACATTGTTATTAGTCTAAATAAATCTAAAAATTATTTGGGTCGAATATTTAAATTAAAATAAATAAAATAAAAAACTGTTACTTAGCAATTTTTTTAATATTATTTGGATTAAGGTTTAAATTAAAAAATGTTGCAGTGTTATAACAGGGGATGCGGTAAAAAATTTAATGCAGATGAAAATACGGATGGTATGTAGGTTAAGATAAAATGTTTGGAATTTATAACAAAATGTATTTATTTTCTGGAAGAATCTTGTTGTCATCACCCGGGTGAACCATTTTTTCATGATGTATATAAAGGATGGTTGTGTTGCAATAAAAAAACTATTGATTTTACTGAGTTTTTAAATATTAAAGGATGTACACTATCAAAACACTCGAACATAAAACCTCCTGAGCCAGTGAAAGAGGAAAAAAATATCGAAATTGTTACAGAAGTACCTAAGGTAGAACGCCTCCCGATCAAATCGACCATGGAAAGACCACCATTTAATGAAACACTTACTAAAGTTCACCCAGTTGTACTACCAGCACTCAAAGAAGCAATTGATTCATTGATTCCTAAATTAAAAGAAAGTTCATTAAGTAATCGAGTAGAAACGTAATAACTTAAAACCTAAGTAATTATTTTTATTTACGCTATATTATTTTAGGGATATTAAAATAGGTACTAGTTGTAAACGATCAGGTTGTACTGCCGTGTATTCTACAGAGACAATTGATTCTGAATGCCAATACCATTCAGGCTATCCAGTTTTCCATGAAGGCATGAAATATTGGACATGTTGCCAAAAAAAAACATCAGATTTCACTGCATTTATGAATCAGAAAGGATGTTCTTATTCAAAACATAAGTGGTTTAGTGATGTAAGTGCAACAAACTGTTTATTAATAATTTTCTATCATTCATTAATCAACATTTTCTAAATTATTAGCATGTTTGTTACAAGAGGAATTTTCTGTTTCATTTTTAGGTTGGTTTGTATTACTTTCCTTATTTTTTTGTTCAATTATCTTAGTTTGAATTTCTTTTTGAGATTCACGCTTTGGTGTTTTAAAATCAAATTTTGTAAAAGATATTTTTATACTACCGTTTCGGCGAATTTGCTTTTGATTTTCTATTTTTTGTAATATAACATTGGCTTCTTCTTTACCGATTTTAGGTCCACAATAGTCATCTCGTAATTTTTGTTTTTCTAATTTAATTTCGCTTTGGTTTTCTAGCTCTTCTATATTTTCTAATTCTGAGCTTGCTGGCTTACTAACTGCGTTGATTTTTGAACATTGTTGCTTTTTTAATCTTTGTCTTCCCTCCCTTTCCTTAATCTTTTTTGTATCTTCTGGTGTTACTCCCAGTTCGTTTTTTAGGACTTGTTCATTAGCCACTTCAAATTTTTCACGTAATTTTGATTCACGTTTCATTTCTCGTACAATTTCTGCTTTTTTCTTGATATCGTATTTTTTTATAGCCTCTTCTTCAATTTCAACATTCTTCTTTTGCAATTGCTCAACCATCGCCTTACGTTTTTCCAAAGCTGCAGCTTTACTTTCTGGTACTTCGAAAATTTGTTCCCATAATCCTTTGTTTACTTTCTTTAATATTATTCTAGCTTCTCTTTTAAACAGCTTACAAGTACTTTTCTCTTCGTCAATGTCATCCGTCAAATGAGCTTCAAAAAACGTTGGAGGACAATTGAATTTCACATACCTTTTCAATAAAACTATACCAGGGCGATGAGATGCAATATTAATTAGTTTAATTACAATTTTAATTTCGTCTTCAGTTTGACATATTTCAACCATTTTTTATTTAACAAGAAAATATTTATAACATACGAGATTAAAATTTCTATACAATTTTAATTTATTGACTAAACTTGAAATATTGCTTAGTAACGATTACAAATTATGTTTTGTATGAGCGCATATATTACATACACAAACATGCATATATAAAAGTTGTTGATTCATAACTTTTTCTTTTAGGATCAAAATTCGGAAGTTGTAAATTGTCGTTACGATTGGCATCAAACAGGGAAAGATGTAATAGTTGCAATATATGCAAAATTGTATCACTACGAAAATAGTTCTATAGAAATTAATCCTATACGTTTAAAAGTCAGTTTGTGCTTCCCAGAACAAAATAATGCAAAATTTGAATTGGATTTAGAATTGCGAGGAGTACTCAACTTTTTTTTTTAAATATTTTTTTTTAATGAAAAGTTTCTCCATAGATAATTGATGTAAAGAAAACAACAGCAAAAATGTATGGAACAAAAGTTGAAATTATTATGCCAAAAGCTGAACCTGGTTCTTGGGCTAAATTAGATTTTCCTAGATCAAAACAAGTAAGTGAAACTGTACAGAATGATGTCGATAATAAAGGAAAACAAAGTGATTCTGAAAATTCTGATGTGGATTTAGATGACTTAGATCCAGTTGGAATGGGTCCTAAAATACTAAATCTTTCATAAATCTATCAAAGTTTTGTTTGTATATTCATTTTTAGAAAAATAAATTTTGTGCAAAAGTTTTATTTTATTATTTTAAGATTTCAGTTTTAATTTTTTGGCTCGCCAATCTGTCAGGTTGTCGAGATTTACATCTTCGTCATCAGAATCATTTAGCTTTTCATCTAAATCCATGCAGTTTGAACGCATTTCTTGTTTTTTTGAAAGAATACTTTCAGTTTTTTTCTCCATATTTAGAACTCTGGACCAGTTTTGAATTTGTTCATCAATTTCTTCAATTTGTCTTTCTGCTATTGCTTCTTCATGTTCTCCTGCAATTATCTCAACAGAGTGTGTAGTCTCTTCTTTAATTTCACGTTGAAATTTTTCCCACTCTTCTTCTTGAGGGTCTTTGTATTCCGTATTTCGGATTTTTGCATCTTTAACTGGATCATCAAAAAATCCTTCAGGTAATTTATCGTCGTCAATCGTTTCTTCAACCTCCATTTTGGTTTCTTCATTTGAGTTTCTTTTAATATTGACCAAATCTTTCTTAATACTAGTTTTGTTAAGTGTCACAGAAAAAAAAGTACTTTTCTCATCAAAAAAATCACTTGGAATAGAACATTTAGTGTCTTTGATATCTTCAGAGTTTTGATATGACACATCAGTTTTTGCTATTTTTGCCGGAATTTCAGGCTTTACAAACAAAGCTTCATCTTTATTTGTCCTTTTTCGATTTTCATTTGCTGTACCTGCACTAATTAAATGATCCTTCAATTCTTTTGCTGCAGCAACCTTTTCTCTATGGCTCTTTGAATTTATGTGAACTTTCCAAACAGTTTCAGATCGTACGACACTTTTACATAAAATACAAGTAAGTTTACCATTTTCATATTTCGCTAATGGGGAATCAATTTTCTCAATATTATTTGAATTTATTCCTGCAGCTTTAGAAACTTTAAGTTTTTGTTCTTGCATTAAACGCCTTAAATCATTTTGCGTATATTTTTTTTTAGACATTTTGAGTTCTTTTTAATATTTGAAAAAAAAAAACAATCCGCAAATTTAACTAAAATATCAACAAACATCAGCTGCTCAATTTCGGATAAATTTGTTCGACAGTTCGAAAGTTCGAAATATATAGCTATTCACAATCTATTTTTTTACTGCGTGATTTTTTTTTATACCTTATAAACTTGAATTGACGTTGTATACGGCGATGCGGTGGTTAAAAATACCGTAATGATATAGCAAGATAACGTTAGTTTGTTGTTATAAAATTGGAATTTTCTAATTAGAAATACTGTTCTAATTCTGCATAGATCTTGGAACTGGAAATCCGAAACCGTTGCGGTGCGGTAATTTCCGTAGTGTACATATAAGTACAAAGCATTTTTTTCTATTTTTGTCGTATTTTGACTTTTATGGCATCTACAATAAAATATTCACAATAGAGTACTGTGAATTGGTAATTTACAGTGCTGTCAAAACTCGCAGTCTCGTGTAGTTGAATTTCACTTTAATTACATTATCCCTAAATATAAAACAAAATATTTTTCTTTGTTGTGCCAGTATATTGATAAATTATTTTAAATTCCTGCTCAATTTTCAAGTTAAAATATTATAAAACATAATGACTAGAAGAGCAACACACGCAGGCAGTTGGTATTCAGATTACGGTACGAATTAATTTTTATGTGATTTATTTTGGTTTGTAACCTACTTATTGAAAGGTATTCTGCACTTATGTATTTTAAATTTTTTTTAAAAAACCCATACAAAACAAAAAAAAAGATTTTAGTATAAATTTTTTTTTATTTAAAACTTTAAAAATAGAGTTGAATTGTGTGAGTATATAAGGAAATGTTTGGGTATAAGTTGTGAAATTGTGCTAGATGGATAAATGAAAATAATTGCGGAAGTAATAAAAGTTATGCTCGCAGATTTAAGCTGAAACGCTTTTAATTTTTTTTTAATTTAGGTAACAGATTTTGGATGTCTTTGGAACGATTCTCAGACACATTTGTAGCCCAAAGTATTCGTTTTTCGAGACTATCCAAGTTTTCTTTCTTTTTATCTAAGTCATCTAAGCCTCGTTGAAGTTGAGTGCACAACTTAAAGAATGAACTCACTTCGGGGATATCTGCAAATTCACCTGGATGATCTTTAAATTTTTCACCAATTACTTTTGTCAATATTTCAACATCATGTTTCTTATTTCGCTCTAAATCACGTAAAACATCGTTCAACTCACGAGTATTCGGATATAAATGTAGATCTTTAATACGATGCTTTATATTTTCCAAATTTATTAATTCTAATGAATCGCGTGCTGATGAAAAAAATTCTTGGCTTTGTTTTAGAGCTAGTTTCATTTGCTTTATATCCTTTTCAATTTTCTTTGATTCGGACACATTTAGAAAATTATAATTTTTTGAGTTTTCAGAATCAAAATCATATATCGGAGTTGTGTTGCACTCTCTGGGTTCCACTGAAAGTTCATCTGCTGGATCTGTTTCATCTCTAAAAATAAAATAAATTTTTTTAATTAAAATCATCATATACTTATTCCTTTTTTAAATTAATAATACTTTTCAAAGGCAGTATTGTCTAGAAGTTCTTCTCGGATACTCTTGAGAAGATTGTTAAAAGCTTCATCATCATTTTTAGATGTTAAATCCATGTCTTTCACTATATTTTAATAATTTTTTTAAAAATTTAATTTTTGAGTAAAAATTTAGAAAACAAATTGTTTAAACATTATAAACATTTTGAATAAACGTATCTATAGCAATTCCAAGTTTGATGTTGTTAATTTAATGTGTAAAGTAAATATATGTACATATCTACCTACTATTGTAAATAACTAGATAATGTTATTAGTTTTCTAATATTTAATTTCAGGAAGAGAATTGTCTGAACAACTTAATGATTGGTTGGTTAGTGCAGATTTATCTCATGGTCCTGCTAGGGCAATTATAGCCCCGTAAGTATTCGAAATATCTAAAGATATATTGAATTAAAAGTATAAATATTTTTAGTCATGCTGGTTATACGTACTGTGGTGCTTGCGGAGGTTTCGCTTATAGACAAGTTAGCCCTGCTGTTGTGTGAGTATTAATTTATAGCATACAAAAATATTAAAATTATATTTTTATAAACTTGGGCAGAAAACGAATTTTCATATTAGGTCCATCACATCATGTTCGATTAAGAGGCTGTGCTTTATCAATTGCTAGTAAATACAAAACACCTTTATATAATCTTAAAATAGATACGGAGAGTAAGACTTAAATTTTTTTAAGTGAATTATGATTATATTGCATTTATTTTTTTTAGTTAATTCGCAGCTTGAAAAAACTGGCCAATTTTCTTGGATGGATATGAAAACAGATGAAGATGAACATAGTATCGAAATGCATTTACCTTATATTGCCAAAGTAATGGAAGAGTAAGTTGAATTAATAACTAATATAAATGAAATATAAAAAAGGTAATGATTTGTTAATAAATCTAATTTGATTTTAGTTATAAAGAACAGTTTACAATAGTACCAATTTTAGTTGGTTCACTTTCTCCTGAACAGGAGTCTATGTATGGTGAACTTCTTTCACAGTATTTTACTGATCCACAAAATTTATTTGTGATATCGTCCGATTTCTGTCATTGGGGTCAAAGATTTCGTTATACATATTATGATAAATCATGTGGACCTATTTATAAATCTATTGAAAAATTAGATAAAGAGGTAAACTTCTTAATTTTTTCAAATTAAAAAAAGACCTGCTATGGATTGAAGAAATATTTCAGGGAATGGATATTATCGAAACTTTGAATTTGAGTGCATTTACCGATTATTTAAGAAAATATAATAATACGATATGTGGGCGTCATCCAATTGGAGTTATGCTCGGCGCTGCTAAAGTTCTTAGAGATAAAATGGGATATAAATTGAGCTTTAAATTTCTGAAATATGCACAAAGCAGTCAGTGTCACAATATGAATGACTCGAGCGTTAGCTATGCATCTGGATCTCTTGTTTTCGAAAACTAAATAAAAGAATTTAATGAGTTTTAATTTGAAAGAATTCTTCTCAATAAGAGAAAATATACGAATAGCATTAATTTTTAAAATCATATTAATTATTTAAATCAAATAAGTTTCTCATTTTGTATATGTACCTAAAACTTACTAAAAATAGAGATGAAAGGTTTTAAAAATAAGTTTCTTCTTTTATTTCAAACCCTAATCAGTTTTCGAAAAATTATATATTTGTATGCGAAGTTGTGATAAAGATGAAATTCCATAATTTTACATTTTAACATTTTTACAATTTAATATTTTAGCGAGTTTTTGAAATTTTAAGTTTTGAAAATTTAATAATTAAAGTTTTCTCTTGTTCACCAAAAAATTGCTTGATTGCAAATATAATTTAACATTAAATTTCAATATATCACGAAAATTTTCAGAAATGATACAAAATTTTCATAATTGAATAATTTTATATTATAAAATGCCAAGGTTTATTCAAATATAATCCATTAAATAATTTCTAGATTCAATTTATATAAATTTATATAAATGAACAAAATTTAGCTATCTTTGCCCGGAACGTAATCTTCATCATCTTCATCCTCTGATTCGAATTCTAAATCTTCAATATTTTGAAACAACGATTCATCAATTCTAACATTCTCTATACTATCACCAGCTTCTAATAAGAATTTGATATCGGATTCATTAAGAGTATTGTCTCTAAGGAAAAGCTCTTTGCCCGTTAATTTTTTGGCATCTGAATTGGCTTTTTCTCTTTTCAAAGATATACCCATTTCCTCTTCAAAATTTAATTTCCATTTCATAAAAGACTCAACAGTTACACGTGTTCCTTCAAACTTTTTCCTCTCTAATTCTTCCTGTTCCTGCACTTTTCTTTGCCTTTCCATGTCTTCTTCCTTTTTTAATTCATCCCAACGAACATTTATCCACTCTTGAGCTGTACTAACTAAAGTGAATATCATTTCCATACCTATATTTTCCTTAATAGTATCTGATATATTATTCAGCAATTTTTGATGTGATTCTTCTTCTAAATTAATAGAATCATCAATATCTACATCTGGAGCTTCATCTGGATACTTTTCGGTAAAGGTAAATATTAAGTGTACTTTAATACCATTTTGTTCTTCATCGCTGTATCCTTCTGTCGCAATAGGTATTTTGAATTGATGAAATGGTTCTGTTGTGACAACTAAATGGAAAAAGTTATATGTATTTTGAAAATATGTGCATATTACAAAAAGTACATACGTAAATTTGGAAATATTGAATTTCAATATTTCAATTATAAGTATGTACTTGTTTTAGAAAAGTTATTACTTTCCATATCACCACAATAAATTGAATCTAGAGCTTCGATTTCATTTTGCTGGTCTTCTTTGTAATTTCTTTCCATTATAGGAATTCTGTTTATTAAAAAAAATAAATTTATTTTTTTGTTTTGTTTGGAGTTCAATCTAAAAAATCAAATAAATAAAATCTGATACTAAGGTTGAAAATTCGCGTTAAAAAAAAATAAATACGAGACATGTGTCAATCTGTCAAAGGTTATTCAAACTGTCAACGTAATTCATTTACAATTGAGCATAAAGGCCGCTTTGCATAAAAACATAAAATTTATCCGCTCTCTGCAAAGGTGGGAGATCTTTTTCATTTTATTTTTTCAGAGTATTTTTATTATTTCGCTCCTATTAGAAACAAAATAACTATTTACGGAATTTTGAATAGCTATGAATATTTTTATTTCATCAAAATTGGTGATATTACTAGACAAGCTCAAATTAACTAGATGAAACTAAAAACAAATATTATTTAAAATTTTTTGATTGCAATAAAAATATTGAAAAATTATTAATAAATTTACATTATAATAAAAATATTATTAAAAAATTGGAAAACATTACTGTACAGTGAAATTCGTAGACTTTGGTTATTTACATGATGAAACGTGTAAATTTAGTAAAAATCTTGCTCTGCAAAATTATTTGACAGCTTAAAGAACATAACCTCTTGATAATTTCATTTGCACACACATTTATTTACAGAGTTGCTTTATTTATTATTTTTATTTTTAAAAAATTTAAAATAATAATTATTGTTACTGGACAAATTGATATATTCTTTAATTAAAACGAATCAATTGATTAAAAAACGGTTTAAATAAATATAAGATTATGACGGAGGTGCATGAAATTAATGGAACCGACGAGGTTCAAGACAAAAAACAAAAGAAGGCAACAAAACATGATGGTGGTGCTGCAGATTTGGAAAGAGTAACTGGTTAGTAAGATATGATTGAATTAAAATTTTATTTATTATTATAATTATTATTTTAGATTATGCGGAAGAGAAGGAAATATCATCTGCGGACATGTCAAGTGTAAGTTTATGTTACATGTGCTATGTAGATACATATGTATATTGTATACTGAATGCATAAGAATTTTCTTCCAAATCTGAGACAAGTTTTAAAAAAGGTTCTAAAAACTTTTTTTTGTATTACATATTTTGACCTTATTCAATGATTATGTTATATTAGAAAATTATTACATATTTAGGACTTGTTTGTTCCAAAAATTAAATCATTATACAATTTCCTATTTGCAACTGAACCTATTGCAACTCAGAATAAGATGTTATATATGCGAAGATATACGAAAATATAATTTCAACGAAATTTCTTAATTATATAGTGCAGAGATATGAGGTTTAGTTAGAAACAGATTTCTTCAAAATATTTTGGTTCATATAAATTGCATATTGAACATTTGTTCTTGTGAAAATTCGATGCATTTAATTTTGAATATAAAAATTAATATTGCATTAAAAAAAGCGTAATGTTCTAATCGCAAAACTTTTTCATATTTATTATAGGCAGTTGAACAGTTTGGTGATAAAAGGATAAAAGAAGATCAAGAAAAATTAGCCAAAGAACGTGAACTACAAAAAATTCATGTTAAGAAAGAAGATATAGAACTAATTGTGAGTAATCATACATGTATTATCATAGATAATATCCTAACTGGTTATAAAGTGCAATGAAATTAATATTATATTATAAATTTTAGATGAATGAAATGTTAATATCTAGGACACAAGCTGAAAAGGTTTTGCGAGAGCAACGTGGGGACGTAGTTGCTGCTTTGGAAGTTCTTACTAATTAAAAAGTATACTAGATTTTTTTTAAATTTAATGCGAAATTTATATCATTATAAAATTTGCTTAAAACGCGAGAGTTCTATCAACGTATTTTGAATCCTTTTAGTTAATTGTATATTTTCAAATAAAATTACAATACATTTATAAAATATAGGCCGACTGAAATTAAAAATAGAATTTGATAAAAATGCAATAAATCAGATTTTAAATAAAACGAATATTTTGTTATTTACCAGGTTTTTTATTAATTAAAAATACGTTTATATATATAAGTCCAGATTGCTATTAATTTAGGCGATTATATTCAAATATGTAATTTTAGTTTAATCGTTTTTGGAAATTATTTTGCATTGTTTAACAAAAAATGACTTATAAAAACTAAAAGTACATAATATGATGTAAAAATACAGTATGTTGTGGTTGTATTGGATATTTTAACATTCTGGGTCCTATTGATTAGAATGTAGGTAAATTATGAGTTGTGAGTTCCGTAATATTATGTTAGTAAAATTTGACATATAGACTTCAAAAAAAGGTGTTCCAAAGAACTACATGATATGTATGTATATAAAATCGTGTAAAAATAATAGGTCAAAAATTTACTTCTCATATTTTCGCACTGATTTTGGTTCAAAATGTATATATTAAGCTTTAAGTAAAAACCAATATAAATTATGTGGGTTGTTTTCCAAATCTGAACTTGCAAACCCAATAATTGGAAACGTCTAGCTCTATAGTGCAGAAAGTTTATTTGTTTTTTATTTTTTTCATCTTTATATAAGACATCATATTATTACGATATTATGTAATTTGTTTTTTTTTTTAGATCTGAAGATAAAATATGTATATGTTTATGTGTAAACTTTTAAAATTTTCTTAAAAACGTGTTAACATGAATTGATCTGGTGTGATAATTACATATGTATGTGTTCTTGTTAACAACTAAAACTATTTTTATGTACATGAAGCTTTCATTTACTCTAATATCGTTCCACTAGTTTTTGAATTGATACTAGTGCAAAATTATTGCTTATTAGGAAATTCAAGTACTAAGCCCTATGATAAAATCTATTCTATCTCCTAAATACATAAAGTACCTACCTATATCAATATACTGAAACTTAATGAAAACTCTTGTACGCAGAAGAGCGAGTGTATGATAAGTTAATCAATTAAAAGAAAAAGCCAAATATTAAAATCTTTAAATGATAAAAAAATGATAAGAATAATGCTATCAGTTTTTATGGTACTCTCATATTTGTTTGTGAATATATGTGTAAGTATTTAGAAGATTATTTTATCATTGCGATAATTATTGAAGCTTTTGAAAAATACATACATATGTATATATGTATTATGTATTATGCGAGTAGAGTTATAATTACTTTACTTTGTTGAATGCACGAACGTATGGTAAGTAAGCATATTATAATAATACAAAGTTTTTGAATAGGGTATCCAGTATAACAGATATTTTAATAGCAGAAAAGAATCAGTCTATAAATCAAGCTAGAGGATAGTGTAAATATTCATATAAAACCATATTATGTTTGTACTCATTGTATGAATATCCACTGCACTTCAGTTTCAACGAATTTAAAATAAATTTAATTTTAAATTTGATTAAAAAAGGTATTTAATTTGAATAAATTTTATAACCTACTATAACGATATAAACCTACCGACGATAAAAATTCGTGTAACATGTAAAAAAAAAGAATTAAATAATTTCTGAAATATATTCAAAATATCAGTAGGTTTAAATTAGTTATTTATAGCGTGCCGCATTCAAAGTACACCGATTTTAAAATTCTTTAGAAGAACCTTCATATTGTTATAAAATATTAACATGAATATAGATGTGTGTGTGTATAATTATATATCGTATTTTACCACGTGTAAAATTCATTACTAAAATTTCAAATACAAATTTGTGTCCAATAATAGACCGTATACAAGGACATATTACTAGAAAGAAATTAATACATTTGGTTACCCTTATATTTAATCGCCTACCCCAACTCTATATGAATAAATATGTGTGACCGTATGCAGTGTAAACCTTATAAAGTACAATGTAAAAAAAGTTTAGTTTCGAAAGCACTTGTTCAACTATATTTAGACTGTTGTGCTTTATTATTATTTTTTTTTTTTTTACATTTCGATAAATTAGCGATAAGAAAAACATACAATTGCTTTTATTTTCATTTTGTTGTTGCCGCTGTGTTTTTTTGTTTTTTTTTTTGCTGATTAGCTTGGAAAAGAAAGGAAAGTTGTACTTTGTGTGTATGTTAAAGAAAACAAAAAAAAAAGTAAAAACTCCTTTACAATGTTTTAGTATTAGTTTGGAATTGTCACGAAACAAGACGTTACGAGGAAAACCGGTATTTTCAAATAGGAAAATTTTTTTTTTTAGAATCGTGAATTTATAGAACTTACTGTTATATTGTTTTTATTGTTCTTACAATAAATTTTTTCTGTTTTTAAATTTTTATTTTAATTAAATTAGCTTTGGAATAAGTTTTAAAATAATAAACAAAAATAAGAAAATGTTTGGTACAACAGGATTATATGCAACATCAAAACAGGATATTTTCAATGTTGATTTCAAATCGGATTATATTTATAATGATCGATGTAATGAATCAAGTGAATGTAAAAATTTCGAATACTGTGATTTACAAACTCGATTTTGTGAATGTTTCCCACATTACCAAAGAGACTACAATACTGGACTATGTGAAATTTGTCCTTGTAAGTTTTATAAAGTTTTTTTTTTTGAAATTTAATTTTTCATTTAGTTTGATTCTTGTATTCATTATGTATTTAATAATGAAATGGTTTTAACATTGTAGATATACATACATACATAAATACTTTGTAAATAAATATTTTAACACATTATGAGCGGGTCGGGTAGTACCCGCTTGTGTGGATTGTCACTTATAATCCTATTATAGACAATATGGATGTAGAAACTTATTCTAGACATTTTTTTATTCTTATATTTTTTTTTTTCAAAAACTTGTTATTTTTTGAGTAATAGGGCCCTCAAACTTTTTATGTATCCGGATGTATGCATTGTATACACGCCCGCTACGCAACATTGCTGTTCATGCTAGGCCACCCGCTCATAATGTGTTAATAAGTATAAAACGCCAAGACTTATGCAAAGCTTTAATACAATATTGGTGTACGTAATTAATGGTGTGCGTAATTTACGATATTTTTTCTTTAATTCTTAAAAGTAATAGTATTTTTTTTACGTTTTTAATTATGCAAATTATGGAACAAATGAAAAGAAATCAGTTAATATTTATTATTAGTTAAAGGTAGTTAAAAGTGCATAAATTTTCATTCAAGCATCCCTCTAATTGAGTGCTATAAGGCAATTTTACATATAGGCGGATGAGTTCTGAAAGCGACCATTTTACGCCATTTTGTTTTTTTTTTGTGATTATAATTAAATTCTTAGATTTTTACAAATTATATTATCTTACCTCATATCTAATTCAAAACTATTACTTTTATGCCTCTCTCTCTCTTGGAGATATTCGGTACAAAATTATTATGCATATCCCTTTTTTAAGTTTACAAAATAAAGGATATTAGCCATTATTACAAGTGCATTGATAAAAACAAATTGCTTTTAAAAGGCACATATTTTAATAATTTCTAAATTAGAAGAATTTGATTTTCTGAAGTTAAAAATACTAAATTCGTATTAGCTAATTATGAATTAAGGTAATTAAAACCCATCGGGTAGATTTTTTTTAAACTGAGCTCGCACTTAAAATTATTGCAAATTTTTGTTTTACAATTCCTTTTGGTTTATGGTTCCAAAGCTCACCCGACAACTTAAAAATGTGAGTACGATTATGCATTTTACATACCTCGATATTTTTCTTTAAACTGACAAGCAATTAAAATTAAATTTATTCAAGTGCATTATTGAAAAAAAATTCTATGCATGAAAACTTGTTCCATTTTTTATTGAATTTTAACAACATTTTTTTTTTTATTCTCATATCAAAATTTCAGAATATTTTCGACTTTGTTTTAATAATATTTTTAATGGAGTTAAATTTTTATTTAACAATCCTATATTCAGTAAAAACCCCTATTACCGCTAACAAATTTATTTCTCAATAATTGTTTTAGTTTTAAAGACTCTTTTTATTAAAAAAAATTTTCATTGTTACTTACAAACGAAACTAATGAAATCTTGAACGTTCGTTCTATTGAAATTCCAAAATTATAATGTAATTTTAACAAAATTTTTGTAATTACAACCTTATATGTCAAATATTTAATCACCTGTTAATCAAATTAACAAAAAAAACAAGGCTAAATGATGTTAATTTTATTTTAAATATGTTATTATTTACTTAAAATTTATATAAGGTTAAACAAATGATTAGATAAGCTTTATTGTAAAAATTTTCGTTGATTACGACATTTTGTTATACCAAATAGCAAACTACTAAGAGGAATGTTGTAAAATTGCATTATGCAAGAGGTTTGCAGTAATAATAATATTGTGTAAGTTATATGTATAAGAATTTTTTTCTGTTTCTTAAAATTTGTTAAGAACTTTTCAAAAATTTGCCTATATCTTACTCCATTTTTTGTATGGTAAACACTTAATTTTAAATTTATAACTAAGAGTACAATTATAAGTTGTTCATATTCCAGAGTAATCCATAGCTAATCCCAAGTTTTAATATTTTGTTAATTGATTTTTTGAGTGTATTTCTATTATCAATCCTATATTTAGAACCATGTATGTAAGTATAATATAACTGTAAACGGTAACAATAATTTTAAAGGCTTTAAATTCCAATTGTGTTGTATCGCGTTCTTTCTCAAGATTATTATGAAATTTATTTCAAGTATTCTTAAAATATTAAAAAAGAAAATAAGTACTCAATTTGGCTTTTTTTATAAATATTATTAAAATATCGAAAATTTAAGGTCTTGGCTTCTAATATTCATCACTATTTATATCAATTCAAAATAAGTCGCTTGGGTAGCCCCTAGTTTCCCCAGTGTTTCACATAATAAACGTACATTTCAATATTTTTAATATTATAAAACAAATTATTTTAATAAAATTTTCTATCACCAATTGAAATAGTTTTAATATTCAAATTAATTATAATTTATGATGAAAAAAAAATAAAAAATGGAGAGCTTGGTTACATACGTAATTCATAATTCTTATTAAATATTTTTTTTTTCAAAATATTATTTTTCTATTTAATTAACTTCATATTTCAATTAATTTTTATCATAATAATAATTATTTGTTTTTGCATATTAATTGACTTGACTTCATTCATTTTATTTTTATTATGTTTGTAAATCTTATTTGATTGTACCTTTAATATACCTTTTATATACCTTCAATAAAATACAATATTATTAATAAAATTTTTTTTTTGTATTATAGTTGTATAAATATAGATATCAAAGTCCATCTGTACTGTGAAATATTATAATATTTAATATGAAATTAAAATTATTAAATGTACGGGATAAAAAATATACAAGGTGATTCAGAAAAGTACACAATGCTCTAAAAAGATAGAAACTTCAAATTTACAGTTTTGTATAACAAGGGCTTATAAATGACCTGATAATAATATACCGCATTATTTTGTTGTTGTAGTTTTGTTGTAGTTTTGGAAATACAAGAATTCGAACTTTAAAAAATTTTCAATTTTTCCCGATTTTTTTACTTTTTTTATCTTGAAAATTTCTTATAAAATTTTTTGAAACTTCGAAAAAAATTTTTCATAAAAACTTTTCCCGTTGCTTAAACATTAATCTAAGCTATCAAAAATTTAAAAATATTTTATGGTCGAGGAGATATAGCGAAAAGAACACCATTTAAATTTCAAGATTTTAAAAGGCTGTAATAAAAAGTATAGAAAGTATATTAAAAATTTTCGATTCAAATGGCTGTTATGAAAAGCAGTAGGTATTTCCAGAATTGTATTTTGATAAAAAAAAATAAATTTTAAGAAATTATTCTTTTATTTAAGAACGTCATAACAAAAACGCTATTACCGGATTTATCTTTTCAGAAAGCTAATCTCTTTGTCAACAAGAACAAAACATCTCTTTGTGGACAAAAGGGTTAACATATATTTGCATTGTGACACATTTTTTCATTAACAAAATGCAAAACTATTAATTTTTTTGTTACTTATCTCCTACGTCTACTGTCAATCTCGTCTTCTATTAAGTTTCTATCTATAAGAGTAATCACAGTTGAAAATACATGGAGTTTAATGATATTCCATCCGAAAAGCTCGATTTTCGTCAAAATGTTTGTTAACCCTTTTGTTCACTTACCTCTTTAATAATAAAGTATACCTTTTTGGATGGAATACCCTGTAAATTGAATTAAAACTGAGTTGTAGAATTGAATTTTCATGAAAATGGAAAATAGCTATTTCTGTGAAAACATAGATATTTAATTTTTGCTTGTCACCTGTTTTCATTAGTCTTACATACAAAAATAATTAATTATAAATTTATTTATTTGAATTAATATATAAAAATCGCTATTATTATAATTTTTTTTAATTCTATTAAAGAATGAAGTTCAGACATTATAAGCATAATTGTTGACATATTTATAAACAAGTGCTTACTTTACAAATATGCAAAATGTATATTTAAAGAAAATTTTCAATAAATGAATAAAATTATAAAATCATAGATTAGTGTTGCCGTGCTAATTAATAGTTTGATTTTTCATAATTTAATCATTTTTCAAAATTTGAAATTTTTTGAGAGTCGCTATATTAAATACGTATTAAAAAGCTAACTTATCAAAAATTCCAAATTACAAATGAGGCGCTCAAAATATTAGTGGCCTATCATTCTTGCAAAAATGAGTTATTATCTTCAATAGAGCAGTAATGGCCTAAAGAATTATTCTATATTTTCAAAATACTTAGTTTATTCCTCTTTAAATTCTCTACTCCTCTATTCAATTTTTAAATTGTTTCTTTAAACTTAAATATTTAAATATTTAGAACGCAGTTTACTAGAAATGTCATTTTTGCAAGTAGGCCACTAATAAGCTGAACTCTTCAAATTATACACAAAAGCACAATATCAACTATTGGTTCGTGCAGTTTTCCATGAGCTACTTTTTTTAACTTGGACGGAAATTAAATATCTTATACAATGTTGCAATTTGTCTTTTATATATTTTTTTTGCAGTAATTTAGAAGGCATTTTGAGACACATACAGAAAATTTACCAATATTAACAGGGAACTATACGGGTAAATTTTACGAGAGTCACAAATCCTTTTTCCAAAAGTTTCATGTAGTTTCCGAGTAGGACTTTGTCCGCTATTTTTATGCATTTTTAATATTTATAATATTAAATTATTTATATTTATTTTATATACATTTTAATTTATTTACTTACATTTGTTAGTTATCACAATTTTTATCCGTATGTATTAAAGTTGAATGTACGAAAGAATAGTAAAATTTTTATGATAAAATATAGTAAATAGTTAATAACTAGCTACATTTTCATATTATTTTTAATAAAATCGATATTTAAAGAAAAACGTGATAAGCGTAGAATTACAATATATATAATATAAAACAGTAGTGTGTAAATTGTGTTTATATAATGTTTAAGACCGTGCACGGTAAACGAAGGCAATTACCAAATTTTTACAATATATTATATACCCACATTAAATATGTATGAATATGTAT